ATTTCTTTCCCAGGTCGTTACACCTTCAAAGAATTGCTTTATGAGAGAGAGACAAAGTACAAGTGTTTAGGAAGGTTTAAAACAATTCATTCTAATTCTTTAAAAAAAGATTTAGATTCAGTGTTAGATTTTAAAGGAGACTTAAAGCTCATCTAGTCCACTTCCTTTATTTTTGTGAGAATACAGATTTTTAGGATTTAAATGGATGTTTTAGATGACACACTTACAGGCAGAATGTGAATAACTGAGCCTTCCTGAGAACCAGCCTGGTGCTCTGCTTGCTTACCTCTCCGGGTCATGGGATCAGACTTTAGTATTGTGATGCAGTTTGAGACTAGAAACCTTTAATGAAAGTGATCAGGCAGGCCGGTCCGTGGCTCACTCGGGAGAGTGCGGTGCTGATAACACCAAGGCCCCGGGTTCGGATCCCACATAGGGATGGCCGGTTCGCTCACTGGCTGAGTGTGGTGCTGACAACACCAAGTCAAGGGTTAAGATCCCCTTACCGGTCATCTTTTTAAAAAAGAAAATGCATGCTTTCTGGGAAGGTCTTGGAGATTTTTCAGTGACTTTGCTGTCACTGATTCTTAAGGAAAACATTCATCAAGCTCTTTTCAAATACTTGTGTATTCTACCCCAATAGAAAATTTTATTCTATTATTGGTTACAATAATAAATTAACTACAGCCTTTCAGTCTCATTATCAACGTTTCTTGATGCCTGCCAGAAGGCCCCTGAAAAGAACTATACTAGGTACACTGAACTACTGATACTCCAAAAAATAGACTCTTGGGTACAGGGCTCTAACTGACATCACTTAGACTGAGCCAAGATTTCTAAGACTTTCTTAGTCTAGAAACTCACATACATCATGTAAACATACTGCTTGACCCAAGACTCAGCAGAATAGGAATTGCTAGGAATGACTGAACTGAAAAAACAAAAGTAAACTGTGGTTATTTGTTTGGAATATGACTGGTATTATTTCCAATCTTCCATATTTAATGAATATATAAGGAAGCCCTTTTTCTTTCTTCTTAAGCTATCTCTAATCCTCAATTTAGTAGATTATGATATTGCAGACTTAAACTAATACTTGATTTTCAATGATCTACTCAGAATTCAGAAACAAATAATTTTACTTTTCAGGACAATACTGTCACTTTCATGGGTTCAATAGAAATCTATCTATACTCTCCTCTTTAGTGAGATGCAATTGGACAAATCAATTATGCAATCAAGGCCACACCTGTAGTGTCTTATTTGAGATGGTTTTCTTTTAATCAGTTATGACAAGGTCATTACTAAGTAATTTATGTGGAACCAATTCCTATGCAGCAGTGACAGGAAACTGGCCTGGTACCTAACTTACAGGGTCCCAATGTCATAGGTTGTGAGAGTCACTTCCTGGGAACCAGGGACATTGGTAAATTTGGAGACTATCAAGAAGAAAACCATTCACCTAAATGTACAGGTAGTGCAGGTGAAATCTGGTGAAGAATGTATTGGGCCTGGTTTCCTGGCCTTGGGATAGAAAAACAAATAATACAAGTTTTTAAAAATCCAATCCCAAATTCCTTACGAAAACTTCCAGACAAAAATCAACTCTGCAGCCTTAGTAGTTCTTTGATACTAGAAGGCTTTAGGTTCTCAGAGCAAATGCAAGGCCAATACGCTTAATTACCACTCCTGCTACACTGAAATATTAAGGCCAACCCTCATGAGACCAGGCTTTCTTTTGATCAAGAATATATATGTGAAAATTATTTATGATCACAAAAGGGAAACTAACAGAAATTTTATCCAAAAATCGGAGATGAGGCAAAAATAGTTAGTTGCATATCTTTTTAATATCTGTGTGGGCAAAGGCCACACAATGATTGTGTAGGATGTACTTAGTTCATCTTGTTATTTACTACTGATTAAAAGTCATAGACTTAGTCACATTGCTTCTCAACTAGATTTTTGCCCAATAAAGATGCAAAGAAGGAAGTATCACTGCAGAAAATGGCTTAAATAGTTGAAGAATTACTTTGTTTCACAGGCGTTCTTGTTCTCTACTTCCATTCTGTAAATGAACAAAACCATCTCAGACTAATGCTAACCCACAGCCTAACAGAGCTGGCCTCTGGCCTCTAAGTTTTACTCCTTCAAAGCCCAGAAAGTAATTTAAATGACCTCTTCCCATTTCAAATAGGCTAAAATAAATAACATCCTTATTCGAGCTAACAAAAGAAGGGTAGAAAAATGCTATTAACTTAAAAGAAAGATTTGCTAAATTTTTGTCACTTATGTTGAATAATCTCAGAGATGGACAAACTATATAGATCTCCATAATAATTTCAAAGACAAGAAGACATAAACACTTACGTGTACACACACACACACACATATCATTATGTACTAAGAGTATTTATCCTACAGTGGAATCAAATCTACAGAATATCAGTGGACTTTATAGTGGAATGTCACGGCATTTTACAGCAAATATTTTAAAGTTCATTAGGGACAAATGAATAAAAATAAGTACAAGCAATGGAACATATCTGATAAAGTTCAAATAAAAATAGCACTTTATACACTAACATACATTACTATTTGACCTTTACCACAACAGTGATGTCAGTCACATAGTAGGTACCTTCCTAGTAACAAATGAGGAAGTAGTCTCAGAATAGTTAAGTAACTTGTTAACAATTCCCAAGCTGATAAGTAGAGCAAGGACTCAAACCCATGTCTTCTTACTCCAAGTTCTGTGTTCTTTCTAGTGGGCATAATTGTGGAAACTAAGGAGGTAAGTAAAGCTTGAGAAATATGACTTAACCCTACAGAGTACTTAATTAAAATATACCTCAAAATATATACATATACACAGAAATATGACTTAACCCTACAGAGTACTTAATTAAAATATACCTCAAAATATATACATATATATACACACACACACACACACACACACACACACACACACCTCAAGATCTGATTTTACCATATTTTCAAGTTATTGCCAAGGATCTAAAAGTCCCCATCTCTAAAGTATAATCAATCAACTGATAAGGTAAACCAATTTGGTGCCTACCATAGACACACTTTCCTAAGTACCTTAAGATGACATAAGCAAAAACTGATCTCTCTCTACATTAAATTATGACCTAACAGAGAAAATAATTCTAATGTGAAAATATTCAGAGTACTTTAAGAAGAGTACACGATGCAGTAGAAGTAAGTGTAGACTAGGATGAATACCATGGAGCATCATATTGTAGTTAGAAGCAACTGATGCACACCTACAAAAACAGATGGATCAGAAACACGGTACTTAAGAAAAAAAGTAAAACTGAATGAGATATAACACAACAACATGTATGTATCTAAACATGTATCTAAAACAATGACAGTCATTTTGCCAAAGAACATAGAGATATACATTAAAACACAGAGAATGGAAATGGGGTATTAGGATAAAAGAGAAAAAAGAAACAAAAAAGCACAAGGTTTTGCTGGAATCGAATATAATGCAGCTATTAAAACTAATGTAACTGATCTATATGGACTGACATGTAAAGATAACCAAGATAAATTTTTAAATGACAAAAGCAAGATAGTGCATGGCATATATAATATCCCATTTCTAAATGTGCATGTCTTGATGTATACATGTACATGTGCAAGTATGAAAAAGAAAACTTGGAAGAATACACTAAACTAAAAACAATGGTAATCTCAGGGACAGAACAATGGGGAAAGAAGACTTTCAATTTTTTAATATTTTAATACTTTTACAATTTATTTTAAATTTGTAAAAAGAAAATTCTATAAACTTTGGAGTTAGAAGCCAGTTCAAACACTGACTACATGATTTTAGGCAAGTTACTTAACCTCTCTTTGATTCCTTATCTATTAAATAGAAAAAACTACACTAATTCATGGTGTTTTAAGAATTTAAGGAGATAACAAATGCCACATTCCTAGCACAGTGCTCCCCCCATTATCCTATGAAAAAGCATGCAATTAAAAATAAGAGTGGGTGATAATGAGAAATGTGACAAGAATTTAGAGAAAGGAAAGATCACAGAAGATTACTTATAGAAAATTTAAAGAACTTGAATGAGATTTTAAAAAATGGCAGAACATTAGTAACAGAGAGTTGGGGGGAAGGCATTACCAAAATAAAGGAAATAATCAGAATAAATACACAGAAAGGAGGAGGAGATGTACAAACACATGGCCCAGTGCCTAACACAAACTACACACACAAAAATATCTGTTAAAATAAATGAAAAGGGGTGCAGATTAAGGAATAATAGAAAAAAATAAGTCGGCTTAGATAGAGCAGGGCTATATTTTAGAAATCCTTGAAATCCAAACAGAGCCTAGATTTAATGCAGTTGCCAATGCAAGGCTTCTATAGCTGAAGTTCCACAGCACAACTACATTTTAGGAAGACATGGTCTGGCGCAGCAGTAAGCCAGGATACAACAGAATAAAGAATAATTAACCAGTTCTAATAAATAATTAAGTTATATACATAGATAAATGTTTATACACATATGCACAGGACATAACATATATTACACATATAACAACATATTATTATAAACTAGAAATGAGATGGGGAACTGAACAAAGGTGGGCGCTAACTAGACAGAAATGTGACTAAGATACTGGATTTGATACCAAACTGTCCTAGTAATTATTTTTATTTATTTTTTATTTTTTATTTTTTTTAAAAGATGACCGGTAAGGGGATCTTAACCCTTGACTTGGTGTTGTCAGCACCAAGCTCACTCAGTGAGCAACCGGCCATCCCTATATGGGATCCGAACCCATGGCCTTGGTGTTATCAGCACCACACTCTCCCGAGTGAGCCACGGGCCGGTCCAGTCCTAGTAATTATAATTAGCATTTGCAGTTAAAAAGAAATACATATGTAAATAAAAACTTTGAACTCTTTCTCAAGAACAGAGTAAGAGTCAATCTCCTACATACTAACTTACCTGATCCTCTTGAAACAAAATGCCTTTCTGAGCATTTATTCGTTTAAACAGATCCCCTCCTTCACAGTAATCCATCACTATGTAGAGAGAGCCATTTTCTACAAAAAATAAACATTACATTCCATTTTTAAAAGGTATATCGAAAGCATATCTAAAGAAAAGGTACTTAAAGGTTTACTAAAAAGTAGCAGCTAAGCCAAAAAAAAAAAAAAAAAAAAAAAAAAAACCCAACAAAAAAACCAGAACTACATTCAAAAGATTTAGAGTACAAAGTCAGGATATACTGGTCATACAGATTGTACAATGACTTAGGTTCACAGGCAGCTCTATTATTATTTTTCTACCAAGAATATACCATTCTATTGGATAGTAGTGTTCAAATTGAACTAAACATCTCTGGAATATAGTCAAAATGCAGATAGATATACTGGATTTCATTCAATAGATACATTTCTTTAAATGTCATATATAAAATCATGTTTTTCCACCAATTCATCAGAGATGGGTTATCTTAGTTTCCAACTGACTATTAATTTTCAGCTTTGTTTTGTCCACTTGTATCAATTACTAATTAAACAATACAATAATAAATGCTGTGATGAACTCTTGAGGATCCAACAGTGAATAGGACACAGTCTCTACCCTCTTGGAGCTTTGATTTTACTCTCTTTTTAAAAAATTTGTATGAGTGTACTGCAAAAAGTTTGTAGAAAAACAGAATTAAAAGATAATACAGGGCTGGCTGTTTAGCTCACTTGGGAGAGCGTGGTGCTGGTAACACCAAAATCATGGGTTCAGATCCCTGTACAGGCCAGCCACAAAAAAAAAAAAAAGATAATATGAATCTTCCATGAACTTTTTTTTTTTTTCCTTTTTGTCTTTTTCTGTGACCGGTAACGGGATCGCAACCCTCGGTGTCGCGCCCATACCGCGACCGGCAACGGGATCGCAGCCCTCGGTGTCGTGCCCACACCGCACTCAACCAGTGAGCAGACCGGTCTCTATATGGGATCCGAACCCTCGGTGGGAGCGCCACCGCGCTCCCAAGCGCTGCACTCTACCGAGTGCACCACCGGGCCAGCCCCTTCCATGAACTTTTTGAAGACCCTTTGTGTATAATTTGTGAACAAACATGAAAATGGGGCACAGTGCCATTCACCCTTATGTCTTAGTCCACAGAGAAACGGACTTCCGTACCTCTCTCCCTGGGTAGAAAGGACTAGAACACTTCTAATCATTAATCATTCTCTCCACCCCCTACTTCTTCTCAAGTAAGGAACAGTGGCTGATATTACTTCTTACTACTTACTAGTGAGGGTATCATAACTTAAAGAACTGTTTCCCAGTTCTCATTTCTTTTACTATCTGAGCAATGGCCTTATTTCCAGCAATATTTATTTCTTACATTTTGTGGTGGTCTCATCACCTGTGGTCCTCATACACTGTTTAGATGTACTGCTTGTAATGTGCCATCGGGATTGGGAACCTATCTGATTAAGCTAACTAAGAAGCTGCAGGACTCTTCATGAATGACATGGAAAGATCATCCAAATACACACGTGAAAAAAACCTCTTGAAAACAGTATAATATACCACTTATGTAGCATAAGAAACAAAAAGCAAAACATTGCATACAGCATGCTATAATGTATGCATGCTTATTAGTGCTTAGACTGTTTCTAGAAGGAAACAGAAGATAGTGATAACAGTGGTTAACTCCAAGAATGAAACATAGGTGGTTCACGGATAGCAACAGAAAACAAACTTTTCATTGTGCATGTGTCAAAAGATAAGTAAAACCATCAAAAGATAAAAACAAAAAGTATGTGAGTAAGTGAGAGAGGGGAGAGGGGAAGTAAAACGTTTCAGCTTTACTACCCGTACTGTGAAATGTTTTCTGCTGCTTAGACGTTTATTATTGATTTGGGGGATAAATACTTATTTAAAATGTAAGGTTAATGGAAAGGTTTGTGAGGAAAGTACTAATTTGTTTTGTATTCTTTCAAACATTTAAATATCTAAGCACTAATTATATGCCAGGCACTTTGCACAAGATGCTAGAGATACAGAAATACAAGACACTACTCTTATCATCAATGGGCTTGTGCACTATTGGAGGAAGCACCTCCAAAAAACAAAAAACCACCACCACCTAGAAACTGCTTGAAGTTGGGGCAAAAAAAGGCTGTAAGCCAAGTGACAAAAGCTCATTGCATATTAGAGAATAACCAAGAGTTTAACAGAAAAACAGTAATGGGGATATGAGTTACAACCAATTAGCGAAGAATGCATTGTTGGCTGGCTAACCTAATAGCCAGTTCTAACACTTCTCCCTTCACTACCTCTCACTTTAGAAGGTGAAAAAAAGCCAGATATTCTAATTTTCATTTTCCCTTACAGTTAGAAATGGTCATCTGACCCACTTTGGCCAATAAGATCAAGTGGAACTCTGAAGAGTTGTTTCTGAGAAAGCATTTGCTTGTTTGATTAAAGGAAGAGACTCGGGCCGGCCCGGTGGCGCACTGGATGGTGCGCCGCTTGGGAAGCGCGGCGGCGCT